AGAATGTCAGATCATACCTACACCTGCGTGGCCATGCAGAGCCCCCTGCCATTTGAGGCAGAGGGAAATGGGAGCTCACGATGTGTGCTGATGTATGGATGTATGCCATCAAAGTTTAATGGCGGTTTCATTTGTTGACACTCCCCCCAGTGAGAGGCTCACACTCTCACCTCGTGCACTGACATGCGATTCTGTTTCCTTTTGTGTCTAAATCTGCATTGATGCTAGACACATGTCTGATAATGTAGGAGAATTAGTTCTGAAAGCAAACAGTTGTAATGTATGCAAATGTTTGCTCTGCAGTGTAAACATTGTGACAATTTGATGAGCGAGGGGATGCTATGGAGTTGCATCTGTTTTCTGTTTAGTGACATGTGAATTATTCTGAGAAAATCTGTATAGACTATCAATGAATATACAGACTGCAGCTATTTTTGTTTGTTTGAAACCTGCTATAAAAAGCGAATGTATATGATTATGGATTAAAGCCAAAGGAAAGCAGAAACAGTACACGGGTTTGGCCAGAGCTTTTGTTGGCTGCGGACCTCTGAAATCCCTTCTGGCTAAGGCATCAATCGGACATTTTGGAGCTCCTCTTTCTGGCTAACCCAGCGAGCCTGGCCAGATTAATGAACAAGCTTATCCTGATGCCACACAGTACTGACGGGCATTCTTGACTCTCCACCGAGGATTCCCACTCATGTAATCTTGGGGAACCCATTAGGATTCTTAGAAAGTATTCATTTCAGTTTGACAGAAAGAAAAACAGAAATATTTCAGTTCAGATTTTCCCTCCTTTCTCACATAACTACAATACCCACAAGGATATTTGTTTTCCTGCCTTTGATGTCGACCTCTAGAAGCTCTGTAATAATAGCATGCAAATCAGCTCACAATTGAGCTGCCTCATTAGCCCCCGGCTTTGGATTTTATTAATATTTTGCACATGTAGGTTTTTTATTTTATAAATGAACTAAAATAGCTTAAAATTAAAAGTTCCAACTTTCTTCCATATACTATGGGTCACGGCTTTAATGGAGATAATATAAGAACAGTGGGGGTCCCTGAGACTAAAATAATTAGATTTTAAACCTTTGAGAAAATTTAATGGACACAAAGTAATGCACTTTTTATGGCAGAAGATGATGTCCTGTTTACACAGGAAGTAAGTATATTCCTTTACTTTTGAAAAAAGCTTTTTATTTTGGTTGTACTTTGGTAGACAATCTAGTATAACTGTATGTGGGTAGTATTATCCAGAGATAAACTGAAAGGAAAAAAATGCTAATTCATTGCTAGTACTTCCATGACTTCCTCATTTGAGTCATAACCACTAGAGATGCTGGAGGTCTTGAACATAAATAACATTGTTTTTTGGTATTTAATGTAATACCTGATTGTTGTTTATAGTCCATAATAATATCTTGATTTTTCAGGTATTTCATTCACCGGAATGTATCTATATATTTATATTTCAATATTGAGATATTAAATCAATGACACCATGATGGAATATTTGATCTATATCCCCTATAACCCTTAACCACTGCTATCCTCTGTATTCAGGTGTGTATACAACATTGGTGCCTCTTCAGCCCTCTCTCAGCTTGACAGAGAGAAACAGAAAACTCTGTCCGTCTCGATTACTTTGAACTGAAATGTGGACGAGACAGGGGGCTTTGAGTCACTGCACTCTTGACCTTGGTAGTTGGCCTTAATGTGAGGCGATTATTCCGTGCGTTGTCAGCCTACATCACCTGTCTGTGAGACTCTCCTCTCTCCCTGTCACACAGGGTGCACTTAAGGGACAAAGGAAGTCATAGGATCCCTGAAGAGGAGGTCTTTTGGCTTAGTTTTAGGGCCCATCATATTTCTTGCGCGTGTGTTTATACATGTAAGTTAGTGTTATTATGTGTCAAAATTCTGATGGTGTCATGTGAGATTTGCCACCTCTTGTCCACTTGCGGTGCTGAAACCTGAAACCTGCACATTTTGAAGTGCACACACACACACACACACACACACACACACACACACACACACAAACACGATTTCTCGCAACCCTCTTCCACTTCCGTCTTCCACTATGCCTGCTAAAGTGTACCTCGGAAAACATCTGACAGATTTAGCTTTGCACTTTAAATATAGAAAGGGATACACCAATGAACCCTACACGGCTATTAAAGAGAAAACATAGACATCACGTCCGAATGCTGCTCCTCTGACATGAGTCTGACATATCCCAGTTTGTTGCTAACAGACATGACTCACTCATGCCATCTCATGCCATCACATCTGAATCATTAATGTGAATATAAACAGCCCCATTAAGTAAATTACAACTATTACAAATGCAGCAACAGCTATACTTCTATTACTGCTTTAGGTTTCTTTTTATTTCTCACTTTCTTTTGAAGGTGGAGGGAATGCCCCTCTGTCAGTACCATTCTTGTAGGTTTCCCCTGAGTGTCATTGCATTAGGCCTGATTTGCAGTGGTGGTTGCTCGGTTGGTTGTCTTTGGTAGATTATGTGTTTAAGGTTGACAGCTAGCTCTCATAGACATTGTGTGGAGAGTGGGAGAAAGGGTGGGGGGTTGGGATTGAGGGGTGGACTGGTTTTCACAGTTGAATAACTGGGTCAGTTTAAGATGATGGTGCTTCTTATCTCCTCAGCTCATCGCTGGGTGTTCACTGTTCGCTACTCAGCTTTTCAGCAACCAACCAACCATTGTCATACTTGTCTTTGCCCCTTTCTCAACCCCTACAACCCCTGGTATATAGAAGCACAAACTAGCTCCAAGGAAATGTCAGTTTATATGGATCTATAAGCACTGTATGTGGACTGCATTTAAATTAATGAACACATGTATTTTAGTGCTTTGCTTAAAATGGTGCTTCTCCATGTTAGGATTGCTGACAGTGTCAAGCTGTGAATGACTTCTTTTGTCTGTAGTCAAATATGCTGATGTTCAATTAGCTTGTGGACTCAAGCTGAAAACTATTGTCCTCTCTCTGTAGCATTAAAACAGGATTCATGTGATTTAGCTTTACACTCCTTCAACATTGTCTGGCTCATCATAGACAGATGAAGATTGGGGTCTGGTAACCTTTCTAACTCCACATCAGATTTCTTTCATTTTCAATCTTGTAGTCTGTACCCAACCAACACTGACAATTGATCAGCCTTCAGGCAGTTTCTACAATTTATATTACTTTATGCAACTTTTTTTCACATATGCAGCAGTACTCCTTCACTTTTAATATTCAACTGCTCTTTAGTGCATTTACTCAGTTCACCTTGCTCCTGCAAATGGCAAAATACTAACTCCCTATAAGCATACCAAAGCCAGACACACTTTAATTCCTGTATAGACAACAGGGCAGTATTTCAGGATCAGACAATTCCCTCTAGTCAACTGCTTCCCTTCAGACCATTGGAGTGCTTTTCATTCAAAAAGCCTAATGTTATCGTAGAGTTTCTGCTTGAGCCTACTCCCTTTGTGTGGCGCATCATGGATGTCTTTGGCTTGTAAGGTTATTCCGGCCCTTGATTGCTATGTGGACAGGATCGCCGTCGTCCTCCATTCAAGCAGCAAAACCATTAAAAATGCAGGGGCATGGGGGTGTTTACTTAATACCTCAGTCACAATGCATTGGATCAATCCAAAGGACCATCACATGAAAGTAATCAAGCTCCCATCATCAATAATGAATGGCACAATCAGCAGGGACAGTGGGCTCCTATTGTGGGATGGCTGAATGGGAGAAAAGATCGCAGGGGAGGAACTATTGTGCATCGCTACATTGGTCAGCTGTTGCGAAAATGATGATTATGATAACAGTGGTGATGATGATGGTGGTGTGATCTCTAATGTTTGTCAGTGCAGTTTGCCATTTTTTCTGTGGGCGTGGAACAAGACAAAGCTGGCGTTTACTTTTAATGAGTAATATCCAAACAGGTCCTCATTTTCAACAGCAGGAGTAAAATTTGAGTAGACGTTTCTGTGTTTTTTATGTTATACTATACTATCCTCTATATTATTATAAATGGCTCTGTTGTTATGTATTTGCTAATTTATTTGCATAATCTGTATTTAGCCCTGTAAATTTACTTATGTTGTAAGATATTACATTATATATAAGTATTGCATTTACATTTTGTGCTACTGCTGTTGCAGTTGAGTTGTTGCAGTACAGCCTGTGCAAACTTGTACTGATTTTGGATAAAGTGAGAAACAATTTAACCAAGTATTGATTTCTAAGATATCTTCTTAAATGAGTAGAAGGTTGTGCATTTCTTTTGTATTTTCTGAACTCAAGTGGCCTGGTCGAATTTAAATTTAATTCAAATCAGTCCACAAACAAGAATAATAATTGAACTCCCTTGGTTGTTTTCTTAATCCTTCATACAAAAAACATATTTTAAGACTCTCTAAAGGATTAAATAACTTGTTTTATGTGAGGTTCAGTTTTTGCTTCTAGTTTGCCTCACCTTACTTTCCCTTACCATTCACATTTAGTAATTGAAACATTATACACACCACAGTCCAGCAGGGTCACAAGCTTACACAATGCAAGCTGACTTAGCATAGTAGTTGAGGAGTGCATGTCAACACCTGATAACTGTGGTCCTCTCTAAGCACTTCCTCTCAACACTCCCTATACACACTGTTGCTGCTCTTCTGTACAGTTGAACTTACAAATGTGTGTCCTTTCTTTGCTTCCCATAATTGTGCTGGCTAGACTTCACTTTGCCTGTATTCAATAGGCTGTATTTGCTGACATTAGGGTGAACATTCATTATTCAGCGCATGCTTTTTGAAAATCCAAACAATTCTGTAATCTACAGGAGGCAAGTCACTGTTTAATTACAGATACTGTAACTAGTGTTGCCTGTTGTGTCTACCCTAACTGAATACAATACTTAGTTTACTATAGAATACATTACTGCTCTATAAATTAAAATAATTTCTCTATTGTCTGTGTCTTTCTCTCCTCAGGTGGTGTTGGTCTTTGCACTCAGCATCGGGGCCCTCGGAATATACTTTATAGACTCCTCAGAGTAAGTATCAATTTCTTGACGATTCTTCTGAAATAAATGTATATTTCACACTCCAGCAGCTATACTGATGATAAAATATAGATAAAATGAACTTTTCATGCATTTGTTGCACGCAATTACATTGGCCTACATACTGTATCTGAATGACAGGTGCACATGCGTCCTTACTCATCTCCACACACTGCAATCTCTGAAATGCAAATGCACATATTCACACCCCCGCAAGTACTCACAAGCAGTGATGCACACACATACAGTACACACACACATATCTGCATCTGAGGATTTTTCAATGGGAGGACATGTTACCATGGTAACAGAGACAGGCAGATACCGTACAGTATGTGTTGGGAAGCTTGTTCTGTGTGTGAGTAAGTGAGTGTGCTTATTGTCAGTTTATGCGTATCCCAGGCTGGCAGTCACCCAGAGACAGATTGCAGGCCTGGCATTTCTCCGATAACCACTGCAGCTACTTTCACACCATCCAAACCCAAACTGTACCTTTAAAGGGATGGTGGGGATTTTTTTTAAGTCTGGCTAGTTTCAAACAAACAGCAAAAGTTATTATATTATTTTTCTCATATGTAATGTTATTTACATAATAAGTTTTTTTGTTTGCAGCCTTTGCTGTTGCTGTTCTCCACACTGGCCAACAATGTTTTGCAAGAAACAGCAGAATACAGCAGTCAAATGCGTTATCTTTCCCAGGTTAAATTAATATAAGGTGCTACTTTATACTGTATGTTTGCCGACAGCAATTTTGCACCTCCTGACTTCAGTAAACAGAAGCCTTTGCAGTACATGGTTCCCCCCTTTTTTCAGTGCTGTGGCTCAGAGAGCACTTATTTTAATTAAAGCAAAAAAGGCGATTTACTGTATTGTTTCCAATTATGTAGAAGTTGTTAGATGTGCCTCTGGCAACGAAATAACCAAAGACGTGTCACAATACCCTACAAACTAACTCTGTGTGTGACTGCACTTTTATTTCATGCACCATTGATTTATCAAAAAAAGCCTCAGATATCTGCTGCAGTGCCTGCAGTTATGGAATGTTGATTGCAAGGGACCATAACAAATTGACCATGATAGTATATGGTACTTTTTCATCATATTGTGCAGCATGTTATCTTTCAATAATGGCTAGCTTCCTGTAGTTATTTTTTGCTTTGACACAATATCTGTGAACTTTGAAATTATTTTCCTGGGGGAACAGAGAAATGTAAAATTCTCAGAATAATTCAATTTTAAATGCAATCGAACTTGTACAGTATTATTTTAACAGCAGTTGGAAATTATTCCATGAATCCAGTCACTTATTTGTACTTAAGGATACAAACCTTTACTTCCTCCTCTATATTCCTATCTCCCTCTTTATACAGTATATCCCTCTTTGACATATCTTTAGCCAGAAAAACGATTGAAAGATAAATTAGCATCTTGTAAAAGTGTATAATCCTTTTACTATTCAGATGATTACTGGGGATGAAAAGTAATTTCCTCAGTCAATCATTGTGCACATGAAAGATCAATAATCAGTTAATCAAAAAAAAAAAAAAGCCACAGAAAACTGATGGGGTGGAAGCAACAGGCACTAACTTATTGGAGAGGGAAATTAAACCTCCTCTATTTCATCAATGTAAATGACAGCTCGTAAATGCTGTTACATTTGTAATGTTCCTGTTGGGGATGCAGAAATCATGCTTCCTTGACAGAAATACAAACATGGACAAGCTATCCAATTTAGAACAAAGGCAGAAGTTTGAAAGCATAAAGTTTGCAGAGATGTACTCTGTCATAACAGTAAACCTGCAGGGAAAAAATAGGGAGAATATTTAAAGCACTGCATTTGTTTCGCTGCAGAACTATAGTTTCTCTCACTGTAGTATTTCCCCCATCGTATCTTGTATGTTACAGCGCACTTTGAGTGTATTACTCTGGGAGCCGGCTTCCCTGAGGCATTGCCCTCATCTCTCTGTGCTCCCATTAAGCTAAGGCCCTCTCTACCCTCATCATTGTGATTAGCTCAAGCTTGTCACTTGAGTGTGCACATCCTCCCAGGGGGGCTACGGATCAACCCAACTCTGGGGGATTTGACATCCTAAACAGGGCCAGGCTTGTGTTAGCTGGAGCCTCTTATGTGTTCTGTACCTATTGTTATAGTCCATTGAAAAATACCTTTTCTTGTCTCTGCCACAATCTATTTGAGGTAATATATAATGGCAAAAAATTTCTGAATTTGCCAACCTCGAAAACAAACCAAGATGCGTCATATGGGCCATAAAAGACAGATGGTTCCCAGTTATCATTGTAAGAATGATATGTCACATGCTCACTAGCTATCATAAGCAAACAGCGCTAAGCTGTAACAGCAAAGTTAAAATAGAGCACAGGGTTGCATCTCAAATAAATCTTACACTAAAACGTTTTACTTTAAACTTTGTGATGTCCACAACATAATGCTGAAGGACACAAATATTGATGTATATTCTTCCTCTGATTATCACCTTGTGTGTGGGATTGCATGTGCGTTCACCACATGCATAAATGACCTGACTCACATTCCCATACCCCCATACTCAAATGCTAAAAATGCTCTAAATATGACCTTCTCTGAATCTAGCTTCCTTGCCACTAAATGTTAATGACTGAGGCAATCGATGAGCGCAGACTTATAGGTCACCCTTTTAATGGTAGTAATTACTCTACCAAATGTTGAGGGTCTCGCAGTACAGACTCCTGAACTATTCAGCCTAAGTGGTTTGTGTCCCCCCCTCTCTTCCAAACTACCATTTTAGCCATCGGATGAAGTGAACATTACTCTGAAATTGTCTGTGAAAAAGGCAACAGTAATGGGAAGGATTATGGTTGAATCCCTGTGGTAAAAAAAAAAAAAAAAAGACGTGGTGGAATAAGTGCATGTGGGTTGGAACTTGGGAGACTGGAGCTGCACGATGGGCTTTTATGTCTACTTCAGTGAAGCAGGGTAGCCCCTTGGGGGAAAGACACACACACACACACACACACACACACACACACACACACACACACACACACACACACACAGCACACTGTGGATAAAATGCTGAAGAAAACATACCTTTCTGGTGGCCAGGCACGAGTCTCCCCGGAGCTGTTTTGTTACTAGCTTTCGACAGGTGGGGCTTTCCTAGCAGGAGCTCTGTTGGCCAATATCCTGCAGAAAAGATGCACAAAAAAACACAGCAAAGCTTTCTGTGGAAGCAGGTAGACAGAGTTTGAAAAGAGGGAATTGTTAATTGGCTGCCCTCCCAATTGAGTGCAGAGATTACTAGTCATTGACTTGGCAACCGTGCTGTTGTTAAGAGGGCTGTTTTTTTTTTTTTTTTTATTGAATGGGAATGAATATGTAGCTTCACTGAGAATGACCGTCCATCTGTTTGTTTTGACAAAGTGGTTGTTTACCACAGTTCTGTGCAACACATAATAATGTATGATAAGACACTGCCTTTTCTGTTCCTCTGCAGCAGACTTCACTTGCCAAACTGATGCTATTTTGGTGATATTTTCAATGGGAGGATACTGCGTCCTCTTACGCCCACATCTGAATCTGCTTTAATACCTTGGCTCATTCCTCCTCCTTCATCCCTTCTTTTTCCTCCTTTCTACTCGAATGTAGGACAAAGTCTCTGCAGGCTGCTCTTAAAGGGATGCCCTTGTTCCTGCTCCACTTCTGTTTCTATTTCTCCCCTCTCTCGATCCCTCCCTGTCACACGTAGAGACTATTACATGCACACACTTGCATAGTCACGTTAACTTGCAGACACATGTATAGACACACAAAAATACAATTTGGTCTCCATCTAAGAGGCCTCATAAGCAGCGGCCTGTGCCTGTAACTCTATCATTAGTGTGCGATCAATGTCAGCACTGAAAAAAGAAACAGTGCCTGATGACTAATTAATGGGGTAAGGTGAGAAATATGGCTGAGCGGTGAGACAAGCTTGGCAGACATTGTGGCGATGACCGGCAACCTATATAAGGACCTCTCCTTCTTGGAGTGTTAGGTCAGCATGGAGTACCTGAGTCTCGGTGTGAATCAAAGAGGGCCATGTAACCATGAGAAGACTTAATTTGTAGTTGACACCATTCCCAAGTGGCTTCGATTTAAATCCACAAACCGTGGCAGTAAGAAATAACTCATTTCAAAAATCAAATATCCAGCAATTTTCTAAAACCCCAAAGTTTTATTACTTTCCCTCACACGTTTAGGGAGATTTTCTTCTTCTAAATGAGTGAGTTATTATCAACATTTGCTCTGAAGAGAGAATATGAAATGTCAACATCACACTCATAGATAATGAGCTTTTGTGAGTGTTATGGAACACCAGAGCACTGCTTTATGACTATGGAGGCTTTCTCTGTAGACTGCAAAAATTAAGCTTTTTAATTGCTTTTTCTATCTGAGCATGAGCTTAGAATAGTTCACACAACAGCCTTTGGAGTCCTGCATGTAAAGCTGAACATCAATGTGATGGTATAACAGGTTAAGGGTAAAGTATAATTGCAAAGAGAGGGAAATTACCCTGGTTGCCACCCTATCTGGTAAATGCAGATTCAGTGCATGAAACACTGATTGAAGTCTAATGAAAGAAATTTACTGGAGAGATCAGCAAGGCTGCTCTGTAATATGATGATATTTTTTCATGTCCAAACTCTTTGTTTATCAAAGTCACCATTGCAATAAAAAGGCCATTTGCTGTTGCAGTTTCCTGATATGCCTCAATGCCGTGCGGAAGGGATATTTTTAGACCACAGCATGAGCCACACTCAAAACATTCAGTTAACTTAATAAACCCCAGATGAAATTGAAATAATTTAATCGTTTGTGGCTTTTTTTGGAACATCTAACCACAGTGTCAATTCATGTTAAAGCTTCCACTTAGAATTGTTCAATATTTTAGCCCCCAAAATGGGACATCATTTTATCACTGACTGTTACCAAATGCTCCTGAGTGAATTTA